CACCCGGCAGAGAAAGGCAAAGGGATACTTATCTCAATTAATCCCACTGCAACTTATCACTCAAGGGAAATGACCATCTATACAGACGGGTCTAGATTGGACGAAAGAGTGGGATGCGCCTATGTCGCCACGAAACAAGACAACGCAATCGAGAAATGGAAGAGACAGTTAAGACAACATAACAGTGTCTTTCAAAGCGAAGCAGTGGCAATTGCACAAGCGATTCGCTACCTGCACTCGCACCAGCATAGCCATGTCACCATTAAAACGGACAGCTTATCATCGTTATATGCCATTTGGAATGCTGATCATCCTCGGAGATTATACAGGGAATCCAGAGAGATCTTAGAAGTAACCCCCAGTACCGCACAAAATTAGAGTGGATAAAGGCTCATGTTGGCCACTATGGCAATGAACTTGCCGACCAACTCGCCAAAGAGGCAACAACTGACCCGCCTGATGCACCAATTATCATCCCATGGCCGCATTCGTATTTAAAGAAGGCACTACGCCTAAGGGCTACTGGCATGTGGCAGAACGAATGGGACCAAAGCACCACAGGAGAAGGACCCACTACTTCATCGCTATGTGGACACTAGCCGAAATGTAGCGAACGCACAGTTGGTAAGGTTCATTTCCGGGCATGGGCCCTACCCGGAATATTTCTTCAAGCGTGGCATAAGTCACACAAGTCAATGTGCATGCGGCGACTCAGGCTCACCAGAGCACTATCTAACGTCATGCCCATTAACAGAAGGACTGCATATCAATCTCCCTGAAACAAATCGCCAGCCGTTCTGTAAATATATGATAAAACAGCGGCACTTTATTAAAAAGCTGGTACAGTTGATGGACAGACTGTCCGACTTAGATACAGACTTGTGTCAGCCATAGAACAACCCAGCATGTAAAAAACAACTTAAGCATTTTAAAAAGGACATGTATTGCAATGTAGGAAAACTGTCATTCAAGTGAATTGTAAGAAACTATAATGTAGACTAGAAACTCACAGTATAAAGACTGCCTGTATTCATACCTGGAAAGTCAGTTTGCATTTAACAATGTGCATGTACTGTGTAAATAAATTTCGGCAAATTATACCGTAAGACCATATATAATGAACCGATATATAATGTAGGCATAACGAATGTATGAAAGTGCATATATCTGTAAGCAAAGTAATGTAAGGGAGTGTAATATATGTAAATATTTTTTGTGTATCAGTAAGCTATGTATAAGTAAGTTATGCAATTTAAAGTAATGCAATATAAATGCAGAAATGTCTAATAAAAATGCATGGGTAACATATATGTTTTGTATTATGAATAAGGGATATAGGATGTCTAACGCAAAGCAATGTATGTATTGGAATGTCTATTTCATGTACTGGAAAATTATGCAATAAGTACCCAAATAACATGTAATGTAAGTAACCTGTAAGACTATTATGTTTGTAAATATTTGTATCTAAAAAATTAATCAGAATGTATCTGCATGTATCTATATGCAACTGCAAGTATATGTAACCTAAGGTTTAAGCAGTGTAGGTAAAATTAAGTAATATGTGAAGCAGGCGTGCCTGACTATGTATGTATATAAAAATAATGTAACGCAAGGCACATGTAATATTGGCATATGTAACTGTACATGCAAACTGTATTTATATGCAATCTACAAGTAATGTAGGTATATTTATTGAAATGTACAGCTAAAAACTGTAACTGTACACAAAAGTAATCCAACGCAATGTAAGATTAATGTAATTCAGGTAATGCATATGCATTGTATGCCGGAAAGGAAATGAGAGACAAAGTCAGTATGTAACTCTGTAAATCACGTTATCCATAGAATATGTTAACCAGCAAACAAGAATGTAATACTAAATATTAACAGCCCTTGTATGGCCATGTAATTGCTCTTTTGAAAGACTCAAGGTTCAACTCTAGATATTGGTGGACGTGGCGCTACACCAATTAACCGACGGTAAAGGGGTGGTGCCCACGTCCCCCGTCGCATGTCGCATGTGAAATATGCAGCCCGGTCTGGGCACATCTAGGGTTCACCGTTTGATTTTAAGCAAGATTTCAAGGTAAAAATTTAAAACTAATATAGTATAAGGAGATTAGCATACAGCCAAAAACATAACATAGAAATTTCTTTTCAAACAATTCCTTTTATACCGTAAAAAAATCTGGAAGATTTCTTTGGAAAAATGAGGTTCTTAAAAAAAAACTAAACATGGCTAAATTATAGGACTGGTTTGTGTTGAGCTGCATCTACTATAAATAAAGAAGGTTCAGAGTAACCTATAGTAACTTATAAATCCTTTTTCATTCAATTTTTCTGTGCATACAGAAGGAAATTTTTAGGTGTGTCCAGACCGAACACACTGTGCCGCAAAGGGTTAACATGTTACACACAGAAACAACTACGAAACCTCCCACGCAGCCAGCCCGTTCGCGGAATTCAAACCTCGAACTGAACTACTAGTGTTCAGGGTCTTTATCGCTCGATCGCTGGTAGACCCACTTTTAATTGGTTATGTGTCTATTGTACGAATGAAAACAAAAGCTGGGAATAATTCTACAAACTGAAAGAGATTTGTAATTGTGTTTTTAAAGTAATTTAAATTTCTGGAAAAATAAATTTCTGGAAAAATAAATTTCTGGAAAATAAATTTTTCAGAGCGTATATGGAAAAGCGATCCCCTTCTTGATAATTGGAATGTCTTGTGTTATTGCTGGCATTATGGCGTCTTTCTTACCGGAGACACTCAATGAAAATCTGCCTCAAACTATCTTTGATGCTGAAGAGTTTGGCAAGCATCAGAAGTTCTTTTCTTGCAATAGGTAAGTTTGGGATAAACCTTATACTCTTACGTTACACATATATAACATCATAATTTGATGCTTTTGGTGTCACCTTTCTAAGCTGAACAGTTTTTCATAATCTGAGAGAATTCTTCATAGAGTAAATGCTTGTATATTTGAAATCAGAGCAGACAGTATAGGGTAGTAAATAAGAATCGGGTAACAATGAAAGCAATAAATACTTCTAAGGTAATTATTTCACTGAAATAAAAATAAAATGATTAATGAATATGTGGATGAATTTTGTATTATATTCTTATTTATCCTGCGAATGAGAGAAAACCCACAAAATCTCTGTAAGCTATAATAGAAGAATTTATCCTAATATGAATATTCGCAGAAATACGGAATATATAAGGACAGGTATATTATGACATTGTTAGAATATTTATCTAAAATGATTAGAAAGTGACGGAAGCTAAGTTAACGAAAATTATATATATTTGAATTGTGTAAGTCGTTTAGTGAGAAAATTTATCGTATCTAGCCACACAATTATGCTGAAAAATCTGCGTCAATTGCAAATTTTGGGCATTTAATATTTTTGAAGCTTCTAGGAAAAATTTTGTGAGACCCTAGAAATGATGAATCCAGAGTTGTAATCCATTTCCCCTTCCCTTATAAAATAAAATGCTTGTATAAAAATGCTGCTGAGAGTAACATGGTTGGTAAGTGACAAGCGGGAAATAAGAGTATCTTGTTTCCAACCTGGAGTTATGCTGGGTTTACGATTTCAGATATTTTATCTAGCTTTTGTATAACGTGAAATTATGAAAATATATTGCTTGTTTACAGCTCAGAAATGTGTGAATTTTCGGCTACACCAGTCCTGCATCTTTAGCACTCTGCAAAGGTTTTTTCCCCTGTTCTCAGCAGTGGCATCGATTCTTGATTCCTTTTTTATATATATTTTATTAAACTTCGTTTTGGGAAAAACGGCCCCCCTCAAAAAAAAAGGGGGCAGGGAGAGGTTTACAACAAAGCTCCCATTTTCCTCCTTTTTTATTTGGATAATTTATTCCAAAAATCTTCGTAACTTAGTATACGAAATAAAGCAGTCTTATCTTCAGTTCTTGAGAGTATCTATTTGAATTTCTAAAGATATGCTGTTTTTAAATATTCTGCGACTTTGCTGTTGAAATGAATTTTATGGGACGCGAATGCAATGAACGTGGTGTGTAATAAATAAAGTTAATGCACAAAACGTTATTAATAAAAAGGAAAAAAAAGTACAATCTATCGTACTAAGAAAACTGAACACTTATATGACAAACTGAAGAAAGAAATATATACCAAACAAAGAAAAACATATATGCCTACCCTTAACACTTCATCGTGAATTCTAAACTTAGCTTTCTAAGTTCTTATGATTTTGCTCTTGAATGGCGTAAAAACGAAGAAAACAATACCTAAAAAAATCTGAAAATCTTTCAGATTTTATATTGAGCTTCGATTTTTTTTTTAACATTTTGTGTGCTAGCTTTATTTATGAAATTTCTTCTTCTTCGTGCTTATACCACATAAAATTCAGTTCAACAAAATATATAAAAATAGCATATCTTTAGAATTTTCGAATATCACAAAGTATTTAAAAATAGAAAATCTTCAAAATTTCCGATAGATAGCCACGAGCGCCGGAAATAATTTTTTCCCCCGTACAGTGTTGCCATTACTCGTTTTGAAATCGTTGAGTTTCTTAATTAAAAATTCGTTAAAATTTTACAAAATGTGAAACATTAGAAAACGAATTCGAAATTATAAATTAGGGCTTCCAGGTGCTCATGTTCGGGTGGAGGATGACGTAATTCAAAATCTGATGTCTCTCAGTACCGTCGTTATTTCACAATGTAAAAGACGTACATACATTCATGCAGATTCCTCATTATTTAATTTATGTAAATATAATACAGGGCTATAATATTTGGTGGCAATATTTAAAAACGTGATTCAGACTTTTGGAGTGATCCAACGCAAAATGCCGTTTCGAGACCAATAGCCCTTCTGGGCTACTATTTCTTTCAGATTAAAAAATGGTTTAGCAGGAAAGGAAATGGAGCAGATTGGTAGACTGCGCCCTCAGCGAGAGAGTAAAATACCTTTTGAGCGACGGTTAAAATCTGAAACTTTCCGATTTCTTTTATTTTACGTAATACTCATTTAAGTAAAGTTAATTAGCAAATGCATATAAAGTGAAAATGCTCAACAGATATATTTTTTTATATTAGTTTAAAGTAAAGTACAGTATCTTAACATGTAAATAATGGGGTTAGGGGAAGACGGATAAAAAATGGTTAGGCATTAAATTTAATAATGTTTTTTTAATAAAAATAAAATCAAACATTTATTTCTTACAAAAGTAAAAACAATATAAACGTATATACTTTTAAAAACAAATAAAATTCTCAGTCACATCATTCAGTCTATTCTGGGTTTCCAATTTTCTGCCTTTTTGTGAAGAAGGCATTATGATAGATTGGCTTAATGGCATATTGCGTTCAATTTCGTCGTCAATTCATATAGACAGTCGTTTTTCCATTTCCTCTATAATGTTATTTCTAGAACGGGTAATTCTAGACGTAGTTGCAGTTGCCGATGACAGTATTTTTTCTTTATTCTTAAGAATTGTCCTTATTGTTGAAGTTGCCAAAATCAAATGCAGCACTAATTTGAGATTGACGTTGACCAGAATCTAATCTTCTAATCACTTGCATTTGAGTTTCCAGTGAAATGCTTTTTCTGGTTGCTTTCTTTTCTTGTGTTTTACTCGTATTATCACCCATGATAAAACTAAAGATCCATACATACTATTTGTCACTGTATTATTAATCGTTATAGTATTATATATCAAATTTACAATAATGTCAACAAATGTTGTTTCAAATGATAAAAAGCAAGAAACACAACTACACTGTTTCGGATATGTTATTTGGAAACCTAGCGCTGCGCACAATTTCGGAGAATCCCCGGGTTGAAATCAAAGAGCGCTAAACCGAAACAGCGCTAAACGAAACAGCGTTAAGCGGGGTCTTACTGTACATAGAGTAAAGGTGATCTGTGAAAAAATATATTTTAAGTAAAATCGATAATCGGGTTTCAATAAAAACTTTCACTTCTTTTCTCCAGCGCTTCTCATTTGTTGCCAGATTCAGAAATGAAAAAATATTTTTCCTTTTTCAGGTTTAGTATCCCTATAAATTAAAAGTTTTATTTTATTATTTAGATGGTTTCCAATACGAATATATTGTTTACTTTGATCAGTGATAACTGTTAATGGAGAAAAAATTAGAATTATAATATATTTTAGTTAGACATCAAAATATCGTATAATTATAAAAGTATAGTTTAATGTTGCACATTTTTTCGTGGTATTAAAAACAGAATGAGGATAGAATCTCCGAAAAATAAAAACATCGCTTTAATTTTAATGTTTCTTTACATTGTCAGTTTGTTTGAAATTAAAGACAAATTCAAATTAAGAATTATAATAAACTGTTCTTTGTATAATACTTTCTTTTAAGCTAGTTCTAAATTTTCTAAGTGTTTAAACGTCTTAGAGCTTTGTTTGAAATTAAAGACAAATTCAAATTAAGAATTATAATAAACTGTTCTTTGTATAATACTTTCTTTTAAGCTAGTTCTAAATTTTCTAAGTGTTTAAACGTCTTAGAGCTATGTAATTTCTTTATAAAATTTCTTGGTGAATGGCATTTTAAGAATCTTTATAATAGATTAATTCTAAGAAATCGATTTCATTAAAAATTTTTACATACCCATCAATGAATTTCTTGATAGGGTTATAAGGTATTTCTCCCGCCTTCCTAGCGGGCCTTCGTGCTGTAATGGTCTGCAAACTCAGCGCGTAATTAAGAGGTCCTCGGTTCGATTCCCGGCGAAAACGTTGCATATTTTTCATCTTTCCTGCTTCCAAAATACCTAATGTCACTACAGGGTTAAACGTCAAATTTTAAAGTTTACTAAAATATGACCGATATTTAATTAAACGAATTACTTTTTTTAGGGTTAAAAATCAAATTGTAAAGTTTACTAAAATATCACCGATATTTAATTAAACGAATTACTTTTTTTAAAGTTAAAAGTCAAATTGTAAAGTTTACTAAAATATGACCGATATTTAATTAAATGAATTACAATTTTAGGGTTAAAAGTCAAATTGTAAAGTTTACTAAAATATGACCGATATTTAATTAAATGAATTACTTTTTTTAGGGTTAAAAGTCAAATTGTAAAGTTTACTAAAATATGACCGATATTTAATTAAATGAATTACTTTTTTTAGGGTTAAAAGTCAAATTGTAAAGTTTACTAAAATATGACCGATATTTAATTAAATGAATTACTTTTTTAGGGTTAAAAGTCAAATTGTAAAGTTTGCTAAAATATGACCGATATTTAATTAAATTAATTACTTTTTTTAGGGTTAAAAGTCAAATTGTAAAGTTTACTAAAATATCACCGATATTTAATTAAATGAATTACTTTTTTTAGGGTTAAAAGTCAAATTGTAAAGTTTACTAAAATAGCACCAATATTTAATTAAATGAATTACTTTTTTTAGGGTTAATAATCAAATTGTAAAGTTTTCTAAAAAATCACCGATATTTGATTAAATGAATTATTTTTTTATGATATTCATGAATTAAACTGAAATTAAATTTTTTTTTTTTAATTTTAGGCGCAGGCGTTCAATTAGCCGAGAGCGTGCTGCATCTTTAATCAAAGTCAAAGCATTAGAGAATGTTCTTACTTGTGATGAAAAAGACGCTAACCTCCATCAGGCAGTAACAGTCCTCCAAAACAACGATTTAATTCCTAACGGTGACAATTATGTTGTAATGACAGAACCAGAAAAAGTATTAAACGACAGATCAGATAGTTTGAGGAACCGAAAAAATTCTCAGTACATAACCAAAGACCTTTCGACTGCAGCTGCACAATTTCAAGTCAGCAGTTCTGAGTCAAATGAAGGCCACACCCATACTTCTGAGCCCAGCCAAAAAGATCAGTGTGATGTTAATAGAAGCGAAGAGCTCGAAGAAACCATTCCTCCTGAGAATGAAGATTCGGAAGAAAGAAGAAAACTTCCTGTAGATGCATCAGCAGATAATAAACCTTTTGCTTACGTAAATGCTGTTTTCTATAACAACGAAGAAGACTCCCATCGTCAAAATGAGCAAAATGAATGCAGGCAGAATAGTTCACCTACTGGTACACTTGAAAAGAAAAGGAATGTAAGTGCACTGGAGACAGATACAAAGATGCAAGTACTACCAACTGAATCACAGACGGAATCACACTAACAATCACAGCAGCTAAATCATGTTAAACAGAACATATAGAGCTTGTTAAAAGATATACAGAAATAATAAAAAGTATGCAAAAGGTACGTATTACATTAAAGGTTAATGTAATGTCTAGAGACACTATTGGACACATTTGGAAACTTCTTCATTTATGTGATTCTTATCATCAAGTCACATCTTAATTTTATAGAAGTGATCCTGTAGGTGCGAGGAAAGAGGTTAATTTACTTGCGAAGAAGCTGAAATTCAATTTATTTTCGAATTTGATTTTATTAGAATTTTGAACTGATAGAGTTTTCAATCTTTCTTTCGCTTTGAATTTATAATCCCAATATATGCTGAAAATTATTTTTTTAAATGATATTACGAGTATAAAAGTAGAGTATTTACTGAAAACACAATGATGAATCTAATACTTTAATTTTGTATTGTATCGTATTATTTTTGAAATGTTAAAAAATAACCCATAATTCAAAGTTACAAGTATAATAATTTATTTATTTGAATATATTCCTTTAGAATGAGCATGAATTTGGAAGCTTTATATTTAGATAATCATTTCCGTCTGCGAATCGTTTTTTTACACTTTGTTAAATTAAACAAAATACTCAGAATAATTTTTACAATTAGAAGAAAATATTTTTTAAAATTTAATAAATTTAAACTTGATAAACACTTTGGAAACATAAAGTAACATGAAAAGAAAGCAAATTAAGAATAAAACGAATTATCCTTCCCAATTCAGAATGTTGAACACCGCGTATGAATGATCTTAATGATAATAAATAAGAGGAGATATGTTTTTGCAATGAAATGGTGGTCTTATTTCATTTACTATGACTTATCATCATTTTATATGAAGATTTAAAAGCCGAAAGATTAAGAGATATTTTGAACCATAACAAATTATTAATCTTTGCATACAAAATATAATATAAAAGAAAACAGTGGAGTAGTAATCTGAAATGCTAAAAAGCTGGAATACAAATGTTCTTTCGAAAGAGAGATAAGAGATATGTAAAATATCAATGACTAAAAATGCATTTTCCCAAAAATTCCTTCAATGATAATAAAATTTCCAAAAAAAAGTCTTGGAAAGTTTATCATTGAAATGTAAAATCTGATGCACGAAGTTCCTATTTTTTATAAGAAAAGGAGACTTAAAATTTAAATAACAGGCACCTGTTGTAGAGACACAATCATTAGTTCAAATATTTAGTTTTGAAAAATGTAATTTCATTTAAATTATTATTATGCAAAAAAATCACTAATTTACGTAGTTGTTAAAAGTATTCAATTATGTTTTGCCAATTATTCAATTATGTTTATGTCCAAAAAATCACTAATTTACGTAGTTGTTATTAGTATTCAATTATGTTTTGCCATGTAAAATGCAATCATATAACAGATTACTGTAAATCGGCTTTTAAGGTCTGAAATTATTTGAAAATTTATAGTAGTAAATACTTAAGTTATGAAATAAAAAATTTCCTTTTAAAGGAAATATCATTAGATTTTTTTTAATTTTTAAATTCGTCTCATTGATAATTATTTAGATATATCATTTGTTATACCATTTGAAGTGTGAAGATTTATTGTAATTTTTTTTTTATTTTAAAATTTGTGATTGTTTTGTGTTTCATATATTTTTATAATGAAAATAAAGTCTGTTAAAAGTCACACTATTGTTGCATTTTTCTTTAAACACTAATTTAGCTTTAGTTTTTTAATATCAAAAGTGAAGATTTAGGTATATAAAAATTTTAATTTAAAGTGACTGTAAAATGCATTTTCAAGCAAGCAACTGAATATTTTAGAAAATTACAACAATAATGCAAGAATACGTCTAAGAATAGGAGAGAAAATGTTACTCACGTATTATCCCCTAGACATAAAAGTTACTGGTTATTTCCCCAAAATTGCGCCAATCATTCCTGCTGACTTCTGAGCCGCACTTCTGTCTGAAACGAGAATTACAATCAAAACATTCACCAGTCTCTCTGCATAATCCACCAAATACCCACTACTGAGAAATTATTGGACCCACTTCGTTTTTCGTTTCGTAAAAATGCTTTCGTTGATTCATATTAGTATTTTGTTAGGCTTTTCGATAGAACCGGAATCGCTATTTAGAACGCTTATAAGTACAAACTTCCAGCAGGTGATAGTTAAAGTCTATTGCTGTTTTGACGGCCAAAATTTCCAGTTGTTCTTTTTACCATTTAACAGGTTTTAATTCTCTGAAACAATTGAAAATGAGAGCAACCAGATACAAATGACGGCGTTCAGTGACAAATGTGGGTCTAAAGACCTTGAATTCACATTTTTTTAATGCATAACCGGCGCTAAATCGCACTGCTTGGCGATAGTTTCAAGTTAAACAGGATAATACGTAAGTACCGAAAATGTATTTAATATTTTTGTCATTTATTCTTATTAAGAAAATATAGTCAAAAACGAGAAGCCATGTATCCATTTATGCACTACCAACAGGTCAGTATCCGACTCTTTACTTCCAACAATCATTTGACGCCTTTTTCACAATTAAATAGAATTTCAGCGCCAGCAGATTCCTAAAAGTAATTTCAAAAAAAATCATTGGATACTATCGGTTGTCGCGTTCAAAAAGGTTAGGTTAGGTTATTTAATTACGGCAAAGCCTCGAGGGCTATCTGCCTAATGGGAGGGATAGCCTTCGTGGAGGATTTTCTAAGAGAAACTGGCTCGTATACACGTCACACATGGGGAAAACCACGGAAACACCCATCCAGCCAACCCGTTTGTGGGATTCGAACCTCGGACCGAACTACCAGTGTTCAGCGACTTTACCGCTCGGCCTCTAGTGGGCTCCGCGTTCAAAAAGGAAACAGCAGATTATTTTTCTTCGTACATTTTCTCTGTCTTCATATCAATACCAAATAAGAAAGCAACAGTTCTGAGACCCATTTCTCATTTTTCACACTTTTTCTTCATATTACATTTATGTCGTGTGTGTCTTACGTTATGTACAGTTTCACTATATAAGAAGCAGAACACTTGTGAGTATTTTTGTTTCAAAATATCTGGAAAAAATAAAATGAATTAAAAAATCTGAAAGGTTTCATATTTTAAATTAAGTCCAAAGGGGCGTTTATTTAACGTTTTGTGTGTTGACTTTATTTATTAAATATCATGTTTTTTTCACTTAAACCCTAAAATTCAGTTTAACAGCAATGTCGCAAAATTATTTTAAAATGAGCATGTCTTTAGAATTTCCGATACATAGTTCCGCGCGCTGGAAATAAAAAGGTTTCTTTTTCCCCGTTGAGTGTTGCCATTACTCGCTTTTAAATAACTGAGTTTGTAAATCAAAAATTCGTTAAAGTTTTAAAAAATAGGAAATCGATAGTAAAACAAATTCTAAATTTCAAATCTGTGCTTTCAGATGCCTATATTTGCAGAAAGATTAAGTGATTCAAAATTCGATAGCTCTAGGTACCGTTGTTTTATCTCAATGCGAGAAACATACACACATTTATTCAGATTCTTCATTATTTAATTTCTTTAAGTGTAATACAGGGGGGATAGTATTTGGTGGCAATGATTTGAAAAGTGATGCAGCCTTTTAAAGGTTTCAACGCAAAATCGCAGAACGAAAATAATAGTCCTTCAGGGACAAAGCGCCTTTGGACTAATAATAGATTGCTTCTGCTTCGTTTCTTGGAAAAATCTAGTAAATTCATGATGCAAAATGCAGCAAAAGGTAACAGGAGATGAGCAAATGCTGTTTCGAAAACTTTCTGCAGGATAAAGATTACACGAAAAAGAGTTGGAAATAAAATAAAAGGAAAAAAACATATTTTTAGACGAATCCAAAAAGCTTCCAAGTTTTCAGGAATCAAAATCAAGGATTGTATTATGAGGTATTTTCTCCTCTTTCCAGCATGCCTTCGTCATGTAACGGTAGCGTACTTGACGCGTACTCGAGAGGTTCAAGTTCGTGTTCCGGCGAGGGCAATGCAAATTTTTCACGTTCCATGATCTATACAACCTAATGACTCTACAAATAGCCCCTCAACTGAAAGCTGGTGGACAATAATTCGGTGGACAATAATGACTGGCTCCGCTAATCTCCAGTCGCTCTCTAAATGGGGGAGTGTATAAGTTAGTTTCTCCCTCCTTCCAGTATGCTTTCCGGTGTAATGGCAGCACACTCTGCATGTATTCGAGAGGTCAAAGTTTGTCTCCCGGTGAAGGCAGTGTGCATTTTTCATGTTCCAGGATTGATATAACCTAATGATTCTACAGTGTATTTGCTGATGTATCAATGGATACCAGCTAATAATGTACGCCTTCTAAAAAACATTTCGTTTGCCATCAATAATCAGTAAATGCTTCTAACTATACATTCGAAACAGCATATTATACCCAAACCGAAATTAAACCGAATATGAACAAGGAAAGGCACAGTCCATTTACTTTATATTATTCTTTTGTAGAGACATTAGTTTTTTGGAAGCAGGAAAGATGAAAAATGAACAATGCTCTCACCGGGAATCGAACCGCGGACCTCTGGAATACACCCTCAGCGTGCAAACCAGTATACTACGAAGGCATGCTAAGAAGGCAGTAGAAATACCTTATACCTTTCCTGTTTTACCGTGTTTAACGTTTTTTAACGTTAAGCGGGATATTAACTGACATATATTCTGTTAGGTGAAATATCAAATAAATTTTTGGAGCTCTTTTTACTTCCTTGTACAAAGTAAAAAGGAAGTATTGTAATCGCGAAAAGTTTCAGGCAGCATATCTCAACGAAAATATCCATTTTGACCGCTATCGAATGCAATTTAACAATGTTTTTGCGTGATATCTGTACGTAAGGACAGAATAAAATACTCTTTTCCTCCAAAAAAAAAAAAATTATAAAACTGATTTACTGAAAAAATTAATTCTGAAGAGAACTTTTACGTATGTACGTACGTGCGTACGTACGTATCTCACATAACTCAAAAACGAGTAGCCTCAGAACGTTGAAATTTTGAATATAGGACTGCTATAACACGTAGATGTGCACCTCGTATTTTGGTTGCAATCGGCCGCGCCAAACGTATATAAATATATTTATATATATATCCACTCTGTTACCCGGCTCAGTGATCTCAGTTTCTTTACTCTTATATGTTTGTAAATTGCACATTTTTTGCTTTAAAAATGATTGAATTATGTTGTTCTTATCTTCCGGTTAAGGGTTTTATGCCTTTAGTAAATCTGTATGCAATATTTTTAGAATTATCAACAATTTTAAAGTTGTTTAAGTGCCGCTAAGCCTAATAAGTTTTTTGATGGCGGCCATTGCTTGTTTACATTTGAAACAGCAGAGTAGTGGATTTGTTGCCAATCTAGAGAAACTTAGCTTCGCAACAACAAAGATAGCGCATTCATTTATTATTGCCAGTTAAATCATGCTTAATTCTTTCTGGAATTTTTTCGAGGAAATATGTGTTTAAGATTTACTTCGTAATTTTTAATATAGATATTTTGAGTTTTTATGTATTTTTGCCTTCTCGTGAAGTGAGAACTGAATTAATTGAATGAGAAATACTCAAATACAAAAAAAAAAAAAAAAAAAAAAAAAAAATGTTTCTTTTTTGTTTTGTTTGCTTAATTTCTTTTATACATCATTCTAGCTTTATTATAGTATTTGAATAGAACATGTGGCAACAATTAGATAATTCTATTCTTTAAATGATGTAAATTTTGTGCATTATGAGTTATAATATAAACGAAATATATATTTAACTTTTATATAATTATTGGATTATATAACAGTTAACTTAGTTTCCGTTATATAATTATTATAGAAGTTAACTGTTATTTAATTATCAATGCTGTTATGTAAATCTTGCGCCAGAGTGTCGCTGTGGTAAACAAATACTAGAGTGAGTTTTAAAGAATGCATTTATTCTATTGTGGTTTATGCGCTGTCGGCGAAGTAGATTTAATTCAATCCAATAAGTTTAAATGAAATGCAAGAAAAAATGCGTATAATTTAATATTCCAATACAAGGAATTCATGTGGTGTACACATCAGATTTTTTTTTAATTCCTTAGCATTTTTATCTGAAAGTTTCTTACATCTTACGTAAATTAAAACCGCGTAAATAATTGTCAGTATCCGTTATAAAACACTGAAATGTATGGAAATTTCATTAAATTAAATTAAATTTTGTTAGCACAGTTTTAAAACATATTTAGAAGAAATAGGAAAGTGAGAAAAGACAGTTTCCTATTATAAGAAAATGCGAATGAAATCCCGAAGCATTTGTCTTTTCGTTCTTTACATTTTACCTCCTCCAA